CTGCCCTCAAATTGCTACGACCACCACAAAGAAACAGGTGAGAAAGTGTGAGAACGGAAACCTACACCATATAGAAATGCTGACCAACCTCACCAGCACTTTCAAGAACTCCAGTTCAACCGCTTCAGTTTAACAAGTTCCACCGGACGTTGGAGCAGTGGACAATTCTGCGTATTTCCATGCGAATGTGCGATCGGGTTTGAACGCCATATTTTTTCCTATGTCACATCAAAGTTGAGACATGTTAGCGATGGGAGTCATCATTTTGAAACATTTGACCTTATTTGAAGATCGATCATTTCAAAGACAGCATTTTAGTTTCAGGTGACTCTTCAACATTAAGTTGGGCCATTGGGCATATGAAATTGCATACTACTCTGACGTTGGCATCCCATCCGATGTACATGTCCCGCACACGGTTGCCAAGAGAGTATCAAATCACCCTCGCCGGCAAAAAACACTTATTTCGAGGCGTTGGCAGGCAGTTTCTGTCTCTGAAACGTAAAGCTCTGTATGCACAGATACCGGATACGAAACTATAGAAACCCAACCCTAATATATCAACCCCTCTACAAAGCATGGTTTAGTGGGGACCATTTAGGGGCTGTTTCATGGGATGGGATTTGTGGGATCATAACACCGCCTCGATTAGGATGAAGGTGATATTTCGTCATATGCATCTATCATATTCTATCATCATCGATATATGGTTTGTGCTGTTGCGACCATTTGAAGCCATACAGAAAAGCAGCTTCTCAATTTTCCCTTCGGATGGTCAAGTCCGCACATGTGCTTCTAGTCGTATCGATTCGATGTTTTGTCGGCAACAAATGGGGGGTTTGCCGGCATGAACTTTCCATTTTGCATCAACAAACCAGTGGGAATGTTTCGGAATTCGGACGAATTTGGAACAGAATTTCCCATAGACGCCATGAAATATCCGTATAATTATCCCAAAATTCCGCAAATATTTGGGACATCTTCCCATAAGTTCCCATAATAACTCTAGGACATTACTCCGACTGCTCACTGCTCGATCCCTTCGCTGCTTTTGGTATGTTGCGCTATGCTATGTCGTGCCGCGTTGGTGGAAAAGGTCACATGCCGGAAGCCATGCTCTTCAAAGGCCTCCAGACATGACTTTGGTGGATCTAACAAATACTTTCAAACCTGGGTATATATCTGGGTAGATGATAACAATTCCATAACTGGTTCTTCAAAGTGACCCTTTTAAGGTGGCTGAGCCTAAAATTAGGTTAAGAGACCTTGAAATAGTGGTGGAACAAGGTCACATTGAAGAATGGGGTAACCTGGAAGTAGGCTATAATTGGGATTGTTCCCCCTATACATCCCTATACCATCATTCGAGCGAGGTCGCGGTGGGCCGTTATAATTTAATTTCCCGATATACGGAGGATTCCTAAAATGGGGGTACCCCAAATCATTTTAGTATTGAAACACAGGGTGACTTGGGGATTTCCCATTTAAGAACCACCCATATTTAAGATTCAACAAGTAAACGTGTATTTTACCATCAAGAACGCGTATTTTAGAGTGCACTAATAATAAACAAAATGGTGATATGACTAGCAAGACATGGTAACATAATCAAACAAACTAAGAAGGAACTAATAAATAGGGGGTTGAATCATGAAAGATAGGGCGGTGAATATGGTTTAATCAACCTGGGGATATAGCCATTCTTTGATACGTCACTGGAGTGATGGAACATAATCCCTTCCTCCATTAAACACCCCCAGATGGGACCCCAAAGCGAACACATATAGTACAAAACGAGGGTTTACAGCGTAATACTCAATAATAGGAGAAGATGGAATTACTACAGTGTGCCATCAAACTGTATAGAATGTGGAGTGATGTCATAGAATGACAAGGAATGTCATCAAATATGTGGAATACTGTATGTTCAAGGTTGTGATTCAATGCCATACGTCTTCTATGTGGGGTCTAATGTTTTGTTGCTTTTCTCTTTGCATCGGGCATAGGATATTTGCAAAACAGAGCCATGCAAAATACCCCTATCCCATCTCATTATACTAGTTGGGTGAGAATATTGAATATTCCCATTAAACATCATTAAGCCAGGTAGTGGTAGTCGAATATTTTATAATAACCAATCAGCAGGTGCTTTTTTCATGTTCCCACCTCCTGCACGTTCATTTTCCCTCCAACCGCTTGAAGAACCTCGCTCAACAGGACCTCCAGAGTGACGCTGATAGCACAGGTGCAATATGCTTACCCCAGGGTAAACTGACTTAGATGTCCAAAACCAATGGTTTAAGTTTTCCCAGGAAAATGATCTACAAATGGTGGGTTTTTAGTTTACCCCTGTGTGAAACATACCAACACAGTCCGAATCATGTTGTATCTTAAACAAACGTATCCACCACAATGTATGCAAATTTGGATCCGCCACGCAATGATTGCGCCAGGTAGCTCAAGTGGGACTTCCGGGGTTTCAATTCCGAAATCATGAAACATTATCCTATTGAAAGTCTAGGTGATCAGGGGAATCTGACAATTGTCGTTTGGTTGCAGTTTGTCAAAGCACAACAGACATGTGGCCCAAGTATGTCAAATACCTGCAACTGACACCAATGATAAAGATGTTGCGGCCAAAAACTCATATTATCCCCAGCTGCTGGACCGCTGAACCCAGCAGCCATCGCCTCGATTTTCGTTTCCATTCGCCAAATGTCCAAGGCTTTGGCACTGCCACGGAGTTTCGCAGCTCCTTCGATGAACTCCTGCAGCGTAGCAGCACAGTGGTGGTCTGTACCAACCCATCCCCTTAGTGAATAACAACGAACACCGTTGAACACCCCTTAGTTAATGCCCCCCAATCAGTTGTGATGAAATCATCCCTACATTCCCCATGGTGTCTGTGGGCTGCTTGATCTTAGGGAGAAGGGATCATTTTCCGCCATGGTATTGCCCCAGTTACAGCAGGAAACAACTTCCGAAAAAATCTGTGCTGGAGTGCAGCCAAAGAGTTGAAACTTCTTGGGCAATGTGGCTCAGTGTGGTGTGGTGACCTTTTTACAACCTGCAGGTGTCGCTGCAGCCAAAGGCTTTGGCCTGGAAGGCCAAGCCTTCCATGGCAACCTTGGGCTTCAGTTTGGCCTTCTCGGCAGCGGCATACAGAGATTTGCCGCCCCGCACTAGGGATTCACGGGTGCCCCAGAGAAGGCATTCGGGCCGAAGTTCCGGAGGGGACTCCTTGTGCGGAAGGTCTGGAGCGGAGGGGTTGGCCTCCTGTTCTACGAATCCCATTCGCACATTGTGGGCAAGGATTCGCCCGTCGCTGTAACGCGGGTCAAGAGCGGTTGTCTTCACTCTCGAACTCTTCGTACCGCGCAAAGTACAGTCCGCTGTCACCTTCTCGGCGGTGGTTCGGGATCGACAGCTCACCATTATCACCATCATCGCCATCATCATCACCATCACTATTACCATCACCACCGTCATCATCATAATCATCATAATCATCATAATCATCATAATCATAATCATAATCATCATCATCATCACCATCACCACCACCATCATCATCATCATCAGCATCATCATCATCATCATCACTATTACCATCACCACCGTCATCATCATAATCATCTTCATCTTCACCATCATCACCATCATCACCATCACCATCACCATCACCATCATCATCATCATCACCATCATCACCATCATCACCATCATCATCATCACCATCACCATCATGATCATCACCATCATCACCATCATCATCATCATCACCATCATCACCATCATCACCATCATCATCATCATCATCATCATCATCACCATCACCATCACCATCATCGTCATCATCATTATCATCAGCATCATCATCATCATCATCTTTACCATCATCATCTTCACCATCATCACCTTCACCATCATCACCGCCATCATCATCGTCGTCATCATCGTCATCAACATCATCACGATCATCATCGTCATTGTGGTCATGATCATCATCTACTTCATCATCTCCGTTTTCCATTGTCATGTTCATTGTCATTCACATAGGTTGAGTGCCTACACGATGTGGAACTCATGTGATGTTAATTTCTTTTGAAGAGCCTCGAGTCATTTTTCTTGACGTGCCTTCTGCATCACACAGGAGGATCATACAGCCAGCCATTGTCCTTTTGACAGTTCCAGGATGTTCAAGAGTGTAGCATCAAGAGCGTATTGAAAATTACTTGAGAAAGTCAAGAGTGTAGCGCCAAGAAAGTCTTCAAAAGTTACTTCAGAAAGTTCAAAAGTGTAGCATCAAGAGAGTTAGTTGAGCAAGTTCAAAAGCGTAGCATCAAAAACACAGAAACAAGAACGTTACCGCCAACCCAAACCCCCCCTTCCCCCGACCCCCCTCCACCGCACCCCTCCGCCCCAACAAAAACTATACGCTCAACAAATACACATAGGTCAAAGATAGTCGAACTGCGATGTCAATGGCATCCATGGCAATGTCAACCTACGGAAGAAGATGACCAATTTGGAAATGTTTCAGGGCATGATTATCAGTAATGCAATTGTCTGAAATGTCATGAGTGAAACTTAAGCGTACAAAACTTGCGACTCTTTTGCATGTTTTGAAGATGATGCTAAATATTCTCTACAAATAACAATTATGTAAAATGACGCCCCTAGGAAGTCGTGGATTTGACAATGAAACATGACTTCCGCAGCCACGTGTCTTGCATTTTACGGGATCAAATGGGCCTGTTCTGCGCGACGGGACCCGACGTCCGAGCCAATAACAAGTCAGATCGTATATCAGAAAACTAATAGAAAACTTAGATTCAACAAGTCAAAAACAGAATAACGATAGATAACCCCTGCAAGTCTGCAATTCCAATTTCAAGTCAAAATCAAAACTTTCTGGATGGACCAACTTTGGGAATGTTTGACCCTTCTGATCAACCTGACCATTGCCAGACCAAATTTTTGACAAAACCGATTTTTTTTGAGCAACTCAGACCAACTTTTGGCCAACTGCACATCTTGCCAATTTCTGAAAAACTTCTAATCGACTGATCGACCGTTTCTTGAGAAAGTTTGGACCGACTCATGATCAACCAATCAACCACTTCCTTTTCTGGAATACCCAAAATTCTCCCTGCACGCGACCAGAAACCCTGTCGCTCCGAGAGGGTGATCTCACCGTCCCCGTTGTCGAGAAACTCCTCATCGTCATTTCGCTGCTGAGGCTTCATGCGATGCGAACACAAAAACTTACTGGTGCTTAGTAGGGAATGGATAGGAATGGGGGAATGGGATGGTTATTACTAGTGATTATGGATCATTCCCTCATTCCCTGCTAAGCACCAGTAAGAAAATTACGGATTACTCCTGGCCTATCCCATGGCTCAAGAAGTTTGGCCAGCTGCCTTGCAACCACATGACTGAAATTTGATACTGGTAACTACATGTAACTACACTTTACCCAAAAGACTGCTTTGCAGCGATGATGGCCGAACATGTTTTTTTTTCTGTAGCATGCTGCTGGGATTCTGGGCAGGTGTTTGTTGGGGATTTTTTTTGCATTGTTTTGCACAACGCAAGACAGCCACCCATAGTGAAATTCAGAAGCCCAGAGTCAAACAAACTGAGCAAGTCGTGGTACTCCAAATCAAGCCTTAGACCAGTATAAGCACATGGTGACACCTTGCACAACTTCAACAGCTCTGGCTGGGTGGCAAGTGAGTCCGCTGAGACAAGTTGCCCTCATGTGGTCTGGCCTTATCTCTTGCCGTTTCCCCATATGCAAAATACATGTATGTATATCTATCTATCGATTATCTATCTATCTATCTATCTACCTATCTATCTAACTATCTATCTATCTATCTATCTCTGCGCTTTAGACTTAGATATTTAGAATTGACATGCCGGGTTTAACATGTATCTATGCATGTATTTACACATTTGCGTAGGCAAGAACATACAAGTGAAAGACCTGTGAGCAGTATAACTGTAAACAAGTGACATCCGTACGTAATTAAACATATTCAATTGGTGTCATTTTGACATCTGTACGTATGTGAGGAAGTAAAAAAAGACACACATACATTTTTACAAACGTAGAAGTGCACAAAAACACATGAAACATATTTGGCATATGATACATAAGTACTTATTCGCAAATATTCATATCCAATCATATCCACATGTTTTGCCGGCTTTCCAAATGCAGCCCATGCCGAAAAAATCAATAACGAGCGTTACTACGATTTGTGGAACAATTGCAAAACCTTTGAAACGATGACAACTTCTATGAAACTATGACAGCGCCTATGCAACGATGACAACTGCTATGAAACGCGGACAATTTCTATGACATGATGACAACTGCTATGAAATTACAGTAGTTGTTGCATGCTAAAACATTGTGAAACCTTGGAAATGAGATTTGCTTGGTTCACAAGACCTTGTCAAGGGCACTTCAAGGCATTGCCTAGATTCTTCCATGTGAAAATATACTTTCGCCAAACTTTCGCGACTCCACCTTTTTTCTTTCGCAGGGTTATATATATGGTTATCCACTTTTGTGCTGCTGAGACGTGCCCAAAAGAGCATGTAAATGGCTACTGTGTGAGTGATCTGGGGACAGCCAAGGGCAGATGCAAGGCCATGTTGGGACAGTACCACTAGGAAACAGCAAAGTGATTGTTTCGCTGCAAGGGTGCTGCGGGATTCCACGGACACCTTCTCTTTTGCCACTGCTTCCCCGAAACTTTAGCGAAAATTCCTTGCAGGGGATCTTGGGGTGGAGCTCCACTTGATTCGAATATAGTACGTGGGTCTAGTCTGTCCCTGCCATTCACACGTCAGCAGGTTTTTACTTCACCGAGAAAAACAGTATGACATTATGGTACAACACCTCATCAAAAAACTCTCGCCATACCTTCGCCCAAAAGCTCTCATGGGGTCTCATGTTGTAACGCTGGCGGCCTTTGCGATGAACAATCCTTACAAGATCACAAGGACCTTTAGATCAACAACTCCCATATACCTAGATAAAATATAAGCATGTATAAAATATATATGTAACAATCGTATGAATCCGCCGACCCCTGCCGACAGCAGGGGGAGCGCGTCAGAGAAGAGATTACAAGCAACAAGTGTTGTGCAGTGCAAGCGAGGGGCAAGCGACAGGGGTTGGTAAATGTCCTAATTGAACATCACCCAACTACAGGGATAGAATTTCCAACAGATACTTGTTCAAGTGATGTTCAAAATCCCCAAAACAGGACGTTTACCAACCCCTGAGCGAGGGGGGGACAGAAAGGGAAGCCAGGTGCAGAGTAAGAAGCCCAAAAAAGGAAGCGAGAAAGGAGGGGCAGTCTCAGCGAACGTAGCAAGCGAAAGAAGCACGAAACAAGAAGTTAGAAGCAAGAATGCAGAAGCAAGAGTAAACGAGCGACAGAAATAACGTTTGGCACTCTGGGCCGATCCGTCCTTCGCTGCCATGGTGTTTTGGTGCTGCGACAGGGTCGTCCAAGAGAGCACGGGCAAGCTGGCAGGTGGCCGATGAAGGGCGGGCAAAGTCCAAGTTTGGAGCTAGTTTCTAGGGAGTTCAAGAAGCAATGTTTGGAACCATGGGCTGCCGGCGGCGGTCCCGATCCGTCTTCGCTGAAGCACGAAACAAGAAGTTAGAAGCAAGAATGCAGAAGCAAGAATAAAGGAGCGACAGAAAGTAACGTTTGGCACTCTGGGCTACGGGCCGCGGGCTCAATCCGTCTTTCACTGCCATGGCGTTTTAGCCCTGCGAGGGGCTCCCTTGACCGGAGCTTCAGGGCCATGCCGCACGACAGCCAGCTGCAAGACGACGCAAGCAAGTAGGCAGTTGGCAGTGCAGGAACGCAGGGAAAAGCAAGGTTTGAAGCTAGTTTCTAGGGAGTTCAGAAAGCAACGTTTGGAACCATGGGCTGCCGGCCGCGGGCCCGATCCGTCCTTCGCTGCCATGGTGTTTTGGTGCTGCGACACGGTCCTCCAAGAGAGCACGGGCAAGCTGGCAGGTGGCCGATGAAGGGCGGGCAAAGTCCAAGTTTGGAGCTAGTTTCTAGTCGGTTCAGAAAGTGACGTTAGGCACTGGCACCGGGGCCTCGGAAGCGCCGTTGGGACCGGCATGCCATGGTGTTTTCCTGTTTCGGAAGCGGCCGCCAAAGCTGGCAGCTGCAGGCTTCAAAGGCTAGTTTTCTAGTCGGTTCAGAAAGTGACGTTAGGCAGTGGCACCGGGGCCTCGGAAGCGCCGTTGGGACCGGCATGCCATGGTGTTTTCCTGTTTCGGAAGCGGCCGCCAAAGCTGGCAGCTGCAGGCTTCAAAGGCTAGTTTTCTAGTCGGTTCAGAAAGTGACGTTAGGCACTGGCACCGGGGCCTCGGAAGCGCCGTTGGGACCGGCATGCCATGGTGTTTTCCTGTTTCGGAAGCGGCCGCCAAAGCTGGCAGCTGCAGGCTTCAAAGGCTAGTTTTCTAGTCGGTTCAGAAAGTGACGTTAGGCACTGGCACCGGGGCCTCGGAAGCGCAGTTGGGACCGGCATGCCATGGTGTTTTCCTGTTTCGGAAGCGGCCGCCAAAGCTGGCAGCTGCAGGCTTCAAAGGCTAGTTTTCTAGCGGGCTCAGAAAGCGACGTTAGGCACTGGCACCGGGGCCTCGGAAGGGGCCGTGGCCCGCAGGCCCGGTCCGTCCCTCAGCGCCTTGCTGTTTGGCTGTGGCGCAGGCGCCGTTTTGGGTCAGACAGCTATAGTTTTCTTGTAAGTTCAGAAAGTGACGTTAGGCACTGGGGGCCGTGGCCCGCAGGCCCGGTCCGTCCCTCAGGGCCCTGCTGTTTTGGTGTGGCGAAGGTGCCGTTTGTGAAGCTTGGCGGCTGGAAGACAGCTAGTTTTCTTGTAGGTTCAGAATGCAACGTTAGGCACTGGGGGCCGTGGCAAGAAGTCATTACAAGCAGCAAGGGCAAGAAGCAAGAAACAAGAAACAAGAAGCAAGAAACAAGAAGCCAGGAAGCAACAAGAAGAACAAGAAAACGAAGAAGAAGAAGATCCGTCCTTCACTTCTAGTCGGTTCAGAAAGTGACGTTTGGCTCTCTGGGCTAGCTTGGAGCTAATTTCTAGTCGGTTCAGAAAGTGACGTTAGGCACTGGCACCGGGGCCTCGGAAGCGCCGTTGGGACCGGCATGCCATGGTGTTTTCCTGTTTCGGAAGCGGCCGCCAAAGCTGGCAGCTGCAGGCTTCAAAGGCTAGTTTTCTAGTCGGTTCAGAAAGTGACGATTAGGCACTGGCACCGGGGCCTCGGAAGCGCCGTTGGGACCGGCATGCCATGGTGTTTTCCTGTTTCGGAAGCGGCCGCCAAAGCTGGCAGCTGCAGGCTTCAAAGGCTAGTTTTCTAGCAGGCTCGGAAAGCGACGTTAGGCACTGGCACCGGGACCTCGGAAGCGCCGTTGGGACCGGCATGCCATGGCGTTTTCCCGTTTCGGAAGCGGCCGCGAAAGCTGGCAGCTGCAGGCTTCAAAGGCTAGTTTTCGAGTCGGTTCAGAAAGTGACGTTAGGCACTGGCACCGGGGCCTCGGAAGCGCCGTTGGGACCGGCATGCCATGGTGTTTTCCTGTTTCGGAAGCGGCCGCCAAAGCTAGCAGCTGCAGGCTTCAAAGGCTAGTTTTCTAGTCGGTTCAGAAAGTGACGTTAGGCACTGGCACCGGGGCCTCGGAAGCGCCGTTGGGACCGGCATGCCATGGTGTTTTCCTGTTTCGGAAGCGGCCGCCAAAGCTGGCAGCTGCAGGCTTCAAAGGCTAGTTTTCTAGTCGGTTCAGAAAGAAACCACAAGAAGAACAAGAAAACGAAGAAGACGAAGAAAAAGAAGATCCGTCCTTCACTTCTAGTCGGTTCAGAAAGTGACGTTTGGCTCTCTGGGCTAGCTTGGAGCTAGTCTCTAGTCGGTTCAGAAAGTGACGTTAGGCACTGGCACCGGGGCCTCGGAAGCGCCGTTGGGACCGGCATGCCATGGTGTTTTCCTGTTTCGGAAGTGGCCGCCAAAGCTGGCAGCTGCAGGCTTCAAAGGCTAGTTTTCTAGTCGGTTCAGAAAGTGACGTTAGGCACTGGCACCGGGGCCTCGGAAGCGCCGTTGGGAGCGGCATGCCATGGTGTTTTCCTGTTTCGGAAGCGGCCGCCAAAGCAGTCAGCTGCAGGCTCAGAAAGCGACGTTAGGCAGTGGCACCGGGGCTTCGGAAGCGCCATGCTGGCGACGCCAAATTCCTGATTCCGTTCAAATTCCATGATGTCTGGAGGCCATGCTGGCGACGTCTACTCCTGCAAGCTTGGGCCATCAACGATCTAAGTGCGACTTTGACTGAGCATCGGCCGCCATCACTGTGGAAGATGTTCACTGCAGGCACACGAAGGGTTCCAAACTCACTCTCTCCCAGGGGTCGGCGGCAGGGGGCGTAGCCCCTTAATTCGGCTCCGCCGGCTCCACACGAGTGGCTTGCCCTACGAGCGTCCCAGAGCGACTAGAGCTCTAAGGTGAGGCGCGCCCCCAGCCGCCGACCCTCCGACGCCGGGCCCCGAAAACCACCAAAAATCCTTCAGGAGGGTGGGGGAGAGGTTTTTGGACGGAATCCGGGTCGCTCATCAGCGTCTCCAAGAGCATTCCCCCCCCCCGTTTTGAGGGTACCTAAAATCGGAAAAAAGCGCCGTTTTGACACCTTTTTCGGACGATTTTTCGCTTTTCGAAAGTCACAAAATGCTGTAAATTACAGCATTTTTGCGTTTTAACATCTTTTGCGGGAGCCATGCAAAAACGCAGAAAATGCTGTAAATACCAATACTTTTTGGACCCAAGATGCACAAAACACCGCAAATACCAATGTTTTTGAAAGCCAAGCAAAAAAACACTGTAAATTACAGCATTTTTGGCGTGTTGATCGCAAAAACTGCTGGTATTCACAGTGTTTTTGCAATTTCAAGAAAACGTGGAAGACACGAAACACTGTAAATAGCGGTGTTTTGGCCACTTTTGGACGCCGAAACGCTGGTATTTACGCAGTTTTTTGCCCGTGGCGGCGCCAAACCCCTGTAAATTACAGCATTTTTTGCACTTTTTGAACCGATGTTTTGCCTTGATGAACGCAAAAAACGTTGGTATTTACGCGTTTTTCAAAAAATCGAAGGTCGTGACGTGAACGAAACCCTGTAAAAAACAGTGTTTTAGCCACTTTCGGGGACTAAAACTGTGGTATTTACGCGGGTTCTTGCCATCTGACAGCGCAAGATGCTGTAAATTACAGCACTCTGTGCGCTGTTTACGCTCAATTTTTGAACCTGCGCTGTTTTCACCTGTTTTTTGCATTCATCCACAAGAAACAATGTTGCAGATTGAAACTGGACGACAGCGTGACCTGAAAGAAAGCTGGATGGAGGAGTCGCAGAGAAGCTTTTTACGCACACAGGGGCTTTTACGCAGAGAAGTCTTTAGACAAAGGAGCTTTTTACATACAGAAGGTTTTACACAGAGAAGTCTTTACTCTAAGGAGCTTTTGCACACAAACGTCTAGGAGCCTTTACACACAGAAGTTGTTACACAAAGAAGTCTTTACACAGAAAGCTTTTTACATACAGACGCGTTTGCACACAGAAAAGCTTTTACACACACACCGGGGCTTTTACACAAGAAACAATGTTGCGGATTGAAACTGGACGACAGCGTGACCTGAAAGAAAGCTGGATGGAGGAGTCGCAGAGAAGCTTTTTACGCACACAGGGGCTTTTACGCAGAGAAGTCTTTAGACAAAGGAGCTTTTTACATACAGAAGGTTTTACACAGAGAAGTCTTTACTCTAAGGAGCTTTTGCACACAAAAGTCTAGGAGCCTTTACACACAGAAGTTGTTACACAAAGAAGTCTTTACACAGAAAGCTTTTTACATACAGACGCGTTTGCACACAGAAAAGCTTTTACACACACACCGGGGCTTTTACACAGAGAAGTCTTTAAGCAAAGGAGCTTTTTATACACAGCAGGTTGTACACAGAGAAGTCTTTACTCTAAGGAGCTTTTGCACACAAACGCCCAGGAGCCTTTACACACAGAAGCTGTTACACAAAGAAGTCTTTACGCAGAGGGCTTTTTACACACAGACGTGTTTGCACACAGAAGCGTCTAGACAGAGAAGTCTTTACATAGAGGAGCTTTTACACATTTTTACACATCCAGGGGCTTTTACACAGAGAAGTCCTGACACAAAGAAGCTTTTTACACACAGAAGGTTTGAAACAGAGAAGTGTTTACTCCCTTTTTGCAAAAGAACCTGATCACTTCCTTTCGCTTTGTTTGAATACTTTTGCAAGAATCGAACGCCCAACTCTGGTTTGATCCCTCCGCTTCCTGCCTTTTTAAGTAAGAACCTGATCACTCCTTTGGCTGTGTTCGAATACTTTTACAGACATACCATCATGCAATGACTGCGGGTTGTTGCCACAGCAGAGTTCAGAATGTGACATTTGAAGCTTGTGCAGGTTATTTCCGAAACGTTCTGATTAACTGTTTCACATAGGGGTGTGTGCGATCTTTGTATTTGTCTATGTTTTGAAATCAATAATTGCTGACTTTAAAATGAGGATAGCATGACAGAGGAGGTCAAAACCAAAAGGACTTCCTTGAGCTTCCACTATCCTTTGTACTGTGCTTGTGTTTTTTCCAGCAAATGCAGCCGTTGCAATGGTTGCCCCCAGATACACTCGATCTGCCGCACTTTTGCAGGGGCCGATTGAGCTAGGTGTTGAGGGCGTTCCCGACAGCCTTCGGCTACGGACAATGTTGGCGCATTGGAAAAAGGCAGACATGCACTGCTTGAGGCAGTTGGAGCACTCAACACACTTACTTTGCTTAGCCGCTTTCCGGTATGATGACTCGCTGTAGCTTCAACGGCTTCAACTGCTGCCAAGACATGCCTGGGTGATTCCTTTGTCAAATCACCACAGCTCGTGTCTGCAGACTTCCACGGCAAAAGAGCCTTGCGGCCTTGATGTTGAAACAACTTTTTTCAGGAATCAATGTTGGCCCCATTTGATAATTATTGTGGACATATTGGGTCACCATCATGGCATCTTTTTTCTTTGGACAAAGCCCTCCAATCTCTTTTTCGTGCACAATGACCCCGAAGCTACATGTTTGGCTTCGTGGGCATGACGGTTTGCAGGCCAAAAGGTTGCAAGTTCCAGATTTGGGACAGAGACTGTATATAATCTTATGTATATATGTGTGTATATATCTATCTTTACACACAATAATATCTACGTCCATGTCTTTTCACAATATATACAATAATCAAATATATAATACAGATAAAAATATATCTACTTATATCTTTGGTACGCATGCATGCACTATGACATATGTATCCTGTGTACAATTCGGCTCCAAGTGCGGGTCTTGCAGCAATTTGTGCTGTCTGGCAACTGCGGGAAGCCGCTTGTGACAGTGTGAACTCCCTGCCGCACTTTTGCAGGGGCCGATTGAGCTACGTGTCGAGGGTGTTCCCGACAGTTTTCGGCCACGGACAATGCTGGCGTATTGGAAAAAGGCAGACATGCACTCTTTGAGGCCGTTGGAGCACCCAACACACTTACTTTTCTTAGCCGCTTAGCGGCATGACGACTCGCTGTAGCTTCAACGGCTTCAACTGCTGCCAAGACATGCCTGGGCGATTCCTTTGTCAAATCACCACAGCTCGTGTCTGCAGACTTCCACGGCAAAAGAGCCTTGCGGCCTTGATGTAGAAACAACCTTTTTTCAGGAATCAATGTTGGTCCCATTTGATAATTATTGTGAACATGTTGGGTCACCATCATGGCATTTTTTTCTTCGGACACAGCTTTCCAAGCTCTTTTTCGTGCACAATGACCCCGAAGCTACATGTTTGGCTTCGTGGGCATGGCGGTTTGCAAGCCAAAAGGTTGCAAGTTCCAGATTTTGGACAAAGACTGTATCTAATCTTATATATATATGTGTATATATTTGTATCTACACACAATAATATCTACGTCCATGTCTTTTTCACAATATATACAATAATCAATATATATATAATACAGATATAAATATATCGATGTATATCTTTGTTGCGCATGCATGCACTATGACTATGACATATGTATCCTGTGTACATTCGGCTCCAAGTGCGGGTCTTGCAACAATTTGTGCAGTCTGGCAACTGCGGGAAAACGTGCCTGCCACTTGACCCGGCCCAACGCTTTCACTCTTGCCAGACAAACCTCACATATTGAACCCCTCAAAGCTTTTGCAATGTGTAACATACAAAAGGATACAAAAGGAAACAATTCAATAACATTGCCTCTGCACAAGCTTTTGCCATCCAGCCAAAGAAGACATCGGCAGACCCCTGCATGGTATTGCACGATTATGGCGTTTTAAATTTCCAGAATCCTTTGCTGCAACCTCACAGGGGCCAAAATTGGTGAAGCACCGCACATGACCCTATCCATCACCAAGGCTCGCTGTAGCTTCAACGGCTTCAACTGCTGCCAAGACATGCCTGGGCGATTCCTTTGTCAAATCACCACAGCTCGTGTCTGCAGACTTCCACGGCAAAAGAGCCTTGCGGCCTTGATGTTGAAACAACTTTTTTCAGGAATCAATGTTGGCCCCATTTGATAATTATTGTGGACATATTGGGTCACCATCATGGCATCTTTTTTCTTTGGACAAAGCCCTCCAATCTCTTTTTCGTGCACAATGACCCCGAAGCTACATGTTTGGCTTCGTGGGCATGACGGTTTGCAGGCCAAAAGGTTGCAAGTTCCAGATTTGGGACAGAGACTGTATATAATCTTATGTATATATGTGTGTATATATCTATCTCCGAGATGCTCGACTTCCAAGGGACGCACGGAATGTTTGCTGGGGATCTGATCCAAGCTCAACAAACCTGCCGAAACCTTCGAAACCACTTGGACATCTTGGGACGACAAAAAAGGGACGAAAAAAAATGGGAGTTGAAAATTGATCTGGAACTGCTGGATCAAATAGTGGCTCAAATCATGAAACATCATGAAAGATGATGAAACATGAAACATCATGAAAGATGATGAAAGAATGTCCGAATGGCTCAGTTTCCCATTCCTATTTTGAAAAAAAAGCGATGTTTTCCAAGGGCAAAATCATGAAACATCGTCCCAGGTGGCCTTCCCGATAGTCGTGCAGCATCTGGTTCAGCTCTCCCAACTCCGCGGAATTCCACAGGGATTGGACCACGGCGCGAATGTCGCTGTGTTGACATTTGTAACACCACTGGAGATGTGAGTCGTACTGTTTGAACCTCAGATGGAAATAATTTGGATCTGAATGGCTGTTGAGGTCCAGTTAAGGTATGGCTTGCTATGGCTTGGTATCAGTTGGAATTGGACTATATTGGACTTGGCCTAAGTTGGAATTCGCAGCATCAACATGCGGTGGGTGGCATGCAGTTGCAACTTCCAAAGACCTGTTGTCTTGCCAGAATAGCTCCAAATATTCCTCTACCCAACAATCAGAACCTTTAAAAAATTGGCTTCGTACAATCACTCTAACATTATCCCAATGGTTTTTTCACAAACTTTGTTACATTCCCAACAAAAAAGATTCACAAGCATGATCCACTTATGATCCACTTACCCTCCGGTAATTTCACATAGCTATTTAAAATTGCCCATTGAAATAGTGAGTTAATTCCCATCGAAAAAATGGTGGATCTTTCCAGTTCGCTATGTGAAACGTTTCCCAGAGAGTAAATCACCATAAAATCCCATTAAATCCCATTAAACCACCATTTTCCTATGGTTTTCCTATGGTTTTCCGCCCAGTGTGCTGCGGTGGTGCCTGCTTTGGACGTCCTCAAAAGCTTTCTCCAAAGTCTTCGCCAATCGCCCAGTGCTCTGCTGCCAGGCCTCCTGAGCCACGAGGCTGTCGAAGAGTTTCCCGTCCAGCTCTGCAACAAAGGCCTGGGATCCGGATGGGATGGGAGTTTCATGGGAGTTTTATGGGGATATCATGGGGATTTCATAGGAGTTATTAGGTTTTTTGCTTGGAAAATTGGACAATTGGATCAGGATCCAAAGATTTCATCCATCGAAAAGATGTCAGATGCTGGAAAAATCTACATCTTTGATGGTGCCAGGCATTCAAAACACCAGTCTTTGGCATCCCATGGTGATGTACACAGCTGACCCAAAGATTGCACCAAGATACTGGTTGCCAGTCGCTGTAGTTCTTCATGGCACCAGATCTCATGATGTATCGGTAGGCTTCTAGTTCCTCAGCTGAAATGCATCTTACCCATGGAAAGTCTCAGCGTTGTTCAAGCTATTTAGCCTGTTCAACAAGTTCAACACAATTACATTGACTTGGGGATTCAATTTCAAAAAAACTCAAGAATTTTTTTGATTTTTTTTTGACATACGAGATCATACGAGTATCATGCCAATACAGTCCAAATTCCAATAATCTTCACATGGTGAACTCCGATGATCCCCCATATTCACTCCAATTATTTAGCATTACTATTAGCTAGCATGTGTTTCCCACTATCAACCACTAGTTGTCCAATTCCCCACCCCTTGTCAGAATCTCAAAAGCATTCAAAAACCTTCTCAAACACAATTTGTGTGTTCCAAACTTCTTTGCCTGTTTTCAAAAATTCAAAATCCTCAAAAAACACTTTCCGAGTCTTTCCATATATTTGTCAGATCTTGATTTTTCCTGTTTTTTTTCCCTGGTTTTTTCCATCCAAAAAAAAAACCAAAAAAAACGCTGGATTTCTTTCAGGTGGCCGGACAGGTGGCCAACTGCACGAAGAAGTTGGCCAGGCCGCAGCCCCTCCGCAGCCAGGACATGAACTTTGCGAAGAGCGTGGCAGCATCCGGGGTCATCAGGATATGCCCAATAGGGGACCTTTAAAAGTCGATGGATTGGTTTAAGGGAAAATTTACAGGAAACCATCGATTTTCCCATTAAATATGGGGTTTTCCTGTCAATTTTCCCTTAATCCAATCCATTGAATAAGTGGATGATGGTCATAGTATGGCTCATGAAAAATATGGCATCCCTAGGAGGAATAGTATGCTATGGTCATAGTATGGCTCATCTCTAGTATGGCTCATCTAATCATGGTGAATCATAGTGGATCATAGTGGATCATCATGTAAGTGGATTAGTGGATGAAAAAACGAATTATAACTATGGAACATCTAAAAAAATACATATGGATTAGCGATGACTACTACTAACAATCTGGATGGATTATCAACTAGTGATGAGTATGTTGGTGAAAATGGATGGTTGTGGTGAATAGACTAATCTCAATGATTAGTCAATATGGATGTTGAGTACACTGCTTTTTTTAAGTAATGCATACGGATGATTAATGATCATTCGCCTGTCTTTTACCATGATGAATGGTGTGGGAATAATTACTGTTCAGTTCATGATGACTAAACGCTAATGGTGAATACTTATGTATAATGGTTAATGCGTGTCATCCAGGGTCTATGAACTATATGAACTATGGGTTCTATAGTAATGAATACACAATGGATACACAATCGATAATGATGTTAACCATGTCAAATAATGTTCAATAGTGATCATAAACATTACGATAGGAATGGATGGACACATATGGAATATTTGGGGCACTACATCATTACATCATCATATAGATCAAATAAAGCTATATATATATGATGTATAGAGAAATGGAATCTTGGAAAGGCATGCATGCTTCATGATGCTTTAGGTTTCAGTGGGATCTAGGGAAGCCTGAAATTCAAATCCCAAATCCCAAATGCAAGCGCTGTTCCCAGGTGTTTATGTAGCTGAGATGCAGATTCCAAGTGAAGCACTTCTGATCTTGATTCAAACACAGGTCGCTCTTGACCTTGAAGATCAAATGGCCATGCCTCACCAACACAAAACGCTAGCAGATTGAAATTACGAAACAAAATACAGGGACCATACCTTGGTCCCCCGCAGCGTTGCCACCATGAAACCTTATATTCCTAGTAGCGGCCCTAAAGCGACATATTTGGCGTTTTTGTTCACGTTTCAAACATCGAGTGCTCAGTGGCCATCCCGCATCGGACGCTGGTAGTCCTGGGAAGTTTGCGCAGTTTGCGCAGTTTGCGCAGTTTGCGCAGTTTGCGCATGCGAAAAAGCTGACACCGTTTTTTCCCATGGATGTTTTGTGCATCAAAAACATACTGCACTTGGTCCAGATTGTGCAAAATTGCAAGCGCAAAGTGACAAATAGTGAGAATATCTCCCAGAAGATATCGGGCAAAAAGTCCTTCCCCTACTAGATATTACCCCTCACGTCCCTTAAAAATCCATGGTTCTTTGGCCCAAAAATTCCACCATGGGCCCATGGGGCAAAAACCACCTTCGACGGCGCCTTGGATTTTGGACTCCTTGGGCGGCCGCTCACGGATGTTGAAGGTGATCTCCACCAGCGACAGCTGCACGAGTTCCACCTTCAGAGATGGCTGCTGACCACAGGCATCAGGCTCCATGCTGGAATCTACATAAACATCGGACTGGCAACGACTTCACACATGGCCTGGAATGAAAAGCAATGAAAAGCCACAGGGGAAAAGACTAGACGACGGATGGCCCGAGAGCGTAGAGAAGCAGGGTCTTCTCTTGTTAGTATGGAGACACAATTTTAGAAACAATATATGAAAGATGTGTTATAGGCAGTCGAGAAGAGGAGTATCAAGACAAAATAGTGAGAAGTGCAAGACAATAGTTTGCATCGCAAACACTTTTACACACAGACGCTTTTACACAAAAGCTTTTAGACACAGAAGCTTTTACACACAGAAGCTTTTACACAGACGCTTTTACACACAAAGCTTTTACCCACAGAAGCTTTTACATACAGAAGCTTTTACATACAGAAGCTTTTACATACAGAAGCTTTTACACACAGACGCTTTTACACAGATACTTTTACACACAGACACGTTTACACACAGACACTTTTGCACACAGACCTTTTTACACACAGGAGCTGCTTTTACACACAAACGCTTGTACATACAGAAGTTTTTACACATAGACGCTTTTACACACAGGCACTTTTACACACAAACACTTTTACACACAAACACTTTTACACACAGACGCTTTTACACACAAACATTTTTACACAGAAACACTTTTACACACAGATACTTTTACACCCAGACGCTTTTACACACAGAAGCTTCTACACACAAACTCTTTTGCACACAGACGGTTTTACACACAAGACTTCTACACAGATGCACTTGTACACACAAACACTTTTACACACAAACATCTTTACACAGAAACGCTCGTACACACAAATCCCTTTTCCTGCGAAAGGATTACTCCAGCACACGCTAAATCGCAATTTTACCTCAGTTTTTGCCGATCGACCCTCATTTCGTGCGAAAGGGTTGCTCCAGGACAAATAAAATCGCAATTTTACCTCAGTTTTTGCCGATGGACCCTCATTTCGTGCGAAAAGATTGCTCCAGGACAAGTCAAATCGCAATTTTGCTTCAGTTTTTGCCGATCGACCCTCATTTCGTGCGACAGGGTTGCTCCAGCACAAGTCAAATCGCAAATTTACTTCAGTTTTGGCCGATCGACCTTCGTTTCGTGTGAAAGGATTGCTCCAGCACAAGTCAAATCGCAATTTTACCTCAGTTTTTGCCGATCGACCTTCATTTCGTGCCAAAAGGTTGCTCCAGGACAAGTCGACTGGCAATTTTACCTCGGTTTTTGCCGATCGAACCTCATTTCGTGCGAAAGGGTTGCTCCGGCACAAGTCAAATCGCAAATTTACTTCAGTTTTTGCCGATCGACCCTCATTTCGTGCGAAAGGGTTGCTCCAGGACAAGTCAAATCGCAATTTTACCGCAGTTTTCGCCGATCGACCCTCATTTCGTGCGAAAGGGTTGACGTTTCGTGACTCACCGCCGGTACCACCCTCGGCCTAAAGAGAGAGAGATAAAGAAGGCGAGACAGAGAAAAAGGAGAGAGAAAGGCGAGAAGATGTGAAGGTGAGAAGATGTGTGAGAAGGTGTGAAGATGAGCAGATGTGAAGATGAGCAGATGTGAGAGAAGATGTGAGAGAAGATGTGAGAGAATATGTGAGAGAAGATGTGAAGATGAGCAGATGTGAGAGAAGATGTGAAGATGAGCAGATGGGAAGATAAGGTGTGAAGATGAGAAGGTGAAATACAGACCCCCACTATTGGAAGAATCCTCCGCTCAGACGCTCTCGGGAAAAAAGGTCTAACAGTGTGCGACCAACCTGGCACAAACAACATACCAAGCTCTACTGTGGATTTGGGGACAAATCCTACAATGTTTTCAATGACCGCTACTACACTATACTAGACCTTAGCACAGCTTCGACGGCATCATGCGTCGCGTTGATCATGTGATGCCAGCAGTTCTTGCAGACGCCTGCGCCTCTTCTCCAGTAAGTTCCCCGTTGGTAGTGTAGTCGGTCTAGGTGCCTGGCAAGAACTTCATGTGGAACTGCCAAATTGAAGGACTGGTTTGACTTGCTGTCTTTGTCTTCGGGGACAGTGAAACCAACACAACTTGCTGCCACTGGATGCCATTCTCGAAAAACAATGTAAGCCTCAACGGCTACCTGGTCATACGATATGTTCACAGACTCATGCTTCAGTAGTTAGTTGTTTCAAACTCACGTTGCGGGCTTTGTGCACAATGGGTTGGTTTGTAAATGACGGCGACGACCAAAGCAGTGACTGTCCGTGTGACAGGAAGATAATGCACTGGACTCAATCCGGTGCGCGAGTTGACTCGCGCCTTGGGTTTGCGGCTATCTTGCCTTGCCCTGCTGGCCTCCAAAACATTCACTTTGAACTGCTTTGTGACACTTCAGTGTCACATTGACTTTATCACGCTTCATCCCTTCAGTAGTTGAAGCTCGAGTTCAAGCACTGGTTGAAACAAAAAACGTGTTACAGTAGCCGTGTAATCTCTGTGTCACATTGCCTGAATAGGAAGTCTGAAAGCAAATCTTTCCACTAACAAGAGCGCAATCCCAAACACTGCGGCGAGTAGCACGGTAATGTACCAAATGCAAGCAATCCTAGCCATTTCTAGCAACCATGCATGATTGAGTTTTCCCTGCGTGGCCGGATTGAGCCAAAACATGACCCTTGCTTTGAGCCAGCTGTGCAGGTCTCATTCCATTGCTTTCACTGCTTCTTCCTGCCGTTTTTCCCACTGCTTCTTCCATTTCCTATGCACTCTCCTTCACCCCATAGCTATTGTGCAACAGCACGTCGAAGAAGCCGCACGTGTGCCTCACAAACATCAAAGTCTCTAGGTTAGGGTGTTGTGCTGATGTCGTCAAGATTTGGACACCCCAAGTCTCCGAGAAACATCTTGTTCTTGCCGCGTGGCTTTTTTGTCTTCCGCAAACTGAGCTTTGTCATTTGTGTCTTTGGCGTTTGGCTGGCTTGGCCCCGGTTGCGGTCAAGGCATCTTTGGCCTCCAGACGCGGCACCTGCTTCTCTGCAGAAATCCTCTTTCGGCATGTCTTGGTAGCGCAGTGCTGACAAGTCCAAACCGGCAACCGTTTGGCGTGATACTTCGCATTCTCGGGCCGAGTCGTTCCACATCCTTCAGCACAGGGAGGATACGCACAATCGTGACACCAAGTTGCGGCCGCTGCATACTTTGGCAACGGCTTGCTGCATTGGCAACACCTTACGTCTCTTTCTGTCTTTGGCTTTTGACGTTTCTGTTTGCCACTCACTCTTGCAGGTTTTGGCTTGCAGCGTTTGCATCGCAGCTTCCGCAATTCTTTCGATGCCCTGCTCTTGCGCACCTCCTCCGGATCGAACTCCTGCAACAATCG